TTGTTTCTAATATTTCATTGGATATCCATTTACCTAAGACATACGGTGTATTCATGATTAACTTAGCTACAATGTTGCTGTCGGTTCCGCTTATTAATTTGTTTTGGTGTTCTCCGTTAATATCTTTGGCACAAAGGATACTAGTCAAATGGTTAAATACTTTTTTAACTTTCTCTGTAGAGAGTACTTCAGTGGCTGTTAGTTCTGCGGCTAATTGGTTACTCAAAATTAAACCGCTTCTTGTGTTTTTATTTTCTCGCTTTCTTCTTATTTTTTCTTTTAAGCTCAATATTTGGTATTGCTGCGCTGGTACTGCATAGCCTTGCTCGCTTATGATTAATTCTTTATTACAATCTATTATTTTTGTGGGGTTATTTGTAAATGAAATTCCTATCTCTTTATTATCAGCTAACCAAATTCTACCCATCCATGTGCCTTTCCATTTCCTAACTCTTGAAAATTTACACATTTTTTCGTTTTTTTCTTTATTTTCTGCTTCCCAAATAATCAGTGAATCATCTTCTAAAAGACAAGCTGCGTTTTCATATCGACAATGTGAAATATCAACTCCTGGGGAAAATATTGAAGATGAATCTGGTTTAGCGTAAATGCTGATTTTACTTAGGAAACAATTGGATTCGCCTGTTTCTTGATATCCGATTGACCAATAAGAGTATTCTATTTTTGCTTTATTATTTGTATGACTTGTATTTCGGTTTCCAGTTAATTCCCCTAATCTACATTTTGATTTTTTCCATATTCTGTTGCATTCTTCTATGCTTATTTCTTCTTTTCTGTTTGTCGAAAAAATGTGTGGTATGTTTAATAAATCCTTTTTGTATTTGTAATTTGTGCTTAATATGGAACAATGTGCAGCTGGTATTGGAACAAGGTCTATATTTGGTTGATAGATGTCGAAACTGTGTGTTGTAGGGAGAGGTGGATTTTCTGTAAAATTAACACAAGGTTGGTGATTTTTCTTTATTCTCCAATACATTTGATTTTTCTGACCTGGGCATATCATTGGAGATTGTAGGAGACTTCCTGGTAACATAATTGCGAGAATGCATAAAAGAAGTATATTATCCGTAACTTTTCGCTTTTTATGTTTCGCTCTTAGTATGATACTTTGTTCTTTAATCACCTCGTTTTCTTCATTTCTTGGGATCTCTAGGCTGTATAAATGGTTAGGTGGTCGATTTAATATTTTACCATTTCCCAATTTTAATTTTATTGATCTGTTCTTGTTATTTTCTATTACTTTTCCAATTTTCCAGCAGCCTTTTGGTAATTTTTCATCATAAATTTGAACTATCTCCCCTACTTGCGGGGTTCCTTTTGCCGAAAATTTGGGATTATTATGTTCATCTTTTCTTTCTCTTAACATTATTAGATAATTGATCGACCAGTATTCCCAAAATTTATTAATAATAGTATTGTGTTTTTTCCACTCAAAAACCATTTTTTCAGCCGAATCTGCGTTTGTAAGATAATCTGGGTCCTTTTCTAATAATATTGGTGGAAATCCCTGGTGAGCGAACGGGTATGTGAAATCAATCGGTCGTAAAATTATTGTTTCTGGTTCATCATCTATTTGGATTAATGGTCTTGAATTTATGATGGCTTCGACTTCGCAAATGAGTGTGTTAAAATCGTCATTGTCTATTATCTTTCTTCCTATTGATTTCCTTATGTTAGCTTTTATCATTCCGTTGATCCTCTCATATATCCCTCCCTCCCACGGGGCGAGTGGCGTTATAAATTTCCAATTAATATTTTCTTCAGCAAAGTACTTTTGTAGTCCTTCGTCGATTATCTGATCCGGTTTAATTTTTTTCAATGTTTTTTCTGCCAACCTAAAACTAGAACCATTATCCGATAATATATAGTCTGGTCTTGTTCTTCTAGCGACAAATTTTCTGAAAGCATTTAGAAATGCGTGTGTGCTGATACTAGTAACTACTTCGAGATGGATGGTGCGAGTTGATAGACAAGTTAATAGCAAAATCCACCTTTTACCACGTTCTTCGTCAATGTCTTTTACTATTATTGGTCCCATGAAATCTAACCCTGTATTCTGAAAAACTCTGGATGGCGTTATTCGTGATTCGGGTAGTGGTGGCATTTTAGCTAATTGGTATGGTTTAAGTCTCTGGCATTTTTCTAAACAACTTTTTAAAGTATTCTTTACGAGATTTCTTGCTCTAGGTATAAAATATGCAATTTTAAATGTGCTAATGTTGATTGGAGACCTGAATGCTGTCTTGATTTATGCCCATTTAGTATTATATGTTTTGTTAATGGGTCATTTCTAGGTAAATATATTGGATTTGCAAAATCATAGCCGTTTGGTAAGTTCTGAAGTCTAGTTTTGCACCTTAAAATGTGATTCTCGTCGTAGAATAAATTTAGCGTTTCTATTTGTTCTATAGGGAGATTTTCTCGCGTTTGGGCTTGCTTGATTAATAATATTTTAGTAAGTTTAATATCGTTCGCATCGAAGTTGCCTTTTATTTTGATTTTAGAGAGCCATGGTTTCTTTATTTTATTTAATTTCGACCAAATAGTTACATTAAGGAATCTAAGTATGAACATAGTGGTGTATATGAGTTTCCAAAAAGAGCTGTATTTATCAGCTCTCGGAATAAATTCATTCGTCTCTCCTACGTTTGCTAATTTGTAACAAAACACTGGAGTTTGAGGTTCGGTTTTTATTGTGAATGATTGATTGTTAGGCCAATTCTGTTCATCTTTTCCTAACCATAAAGGTCCTCTCCACCAAAGACTATTTTTAGCTAATTCATTGCCCAACAAACCTTTACTTCCAATATCCGCTGGATTATCGTCCTTGGGAACATATCTATACTCGATTTCTTTATTTTGTCTTATTTCCATTACTCTATTATTTATAAAGGTTTCTTTATGTTTACTAGTTTTGATCCACGAAGTAGCGATTAAAGAGTCGCTCCAGAGTATTGTTTTTTCTATTGGCTGTTTTATCTCGTTGGTTACAAAAGAAATACCTCTGTTCCTATAAGAATTGCGAGAAGCTCCAATCTAGGGATGGTCAACGTTTTTTCTTTGCCTTTAGGAACAATTCTATTTTTAGCAAAAACTAGGCTTGTATTTGTTTTATGGGGACATGTAATTCTAAGGTATATATTTACAGCGTAAGCTTTCATAGAGGAATCAGCGAAACAGTGCAATTGTAGAATTTCGGTGTTATCACATCCGTGGATTATTTTTCTGGGCCTGCTGAATTCCTGTTCTACCGAACCATCTATTATTTGATTTATTTCATCTAATTTGTTTTCTTCTAATTTATCATTCCAATTTATGTTGCGAGCACAAACTTTTTGATAAAGAAGTTTAGCTGGAAGTAATGTTGGACCAATCAATCCCAGCGGATCGAAAATTGAGTGAATCAGTGACAGAAGTTCTATTTTTGTCATGTTTTGATAATTACCCCCTGGTAGTTTTTGACAATACTCATCTTTTTCTATTTCCCATTTTATTCCCAGGAATTTAAGGGATTTGGATTCTATACTAGGGTGTTTGTCATCTTCTTCGAACATATTATTTCCTTCGACTGAATTGCAACAAAATTCTCTAACTCTCATTTTTGCTTGATTAAATATCTGAATTAATTCCTTATATTTTTCTTTTATCTCGTCAGTATTTTTAGCCCCAAGAATTATATTGTCCATATACAAATTTGTTTTAATTTCTTCAGACAAAGGACTTTTAACTTTCTCGAGATGATGTAATATTGTAGCGATTAGGAGAAATGGACTGGAAATGACTCCGAATAATACCCGAGTAAATCTGTAACTGATTAAATTTGTGTATTCCGGTTGGTGTTTTATATCTTCCACCCAGAGGAATCTAGTAACGTCCCTATCTTCCGGTCTCAATTGGATCTGTAAAAAAGCTTTAGCAATATCAGCGATCAAAAGGTTATTGAACATAAGTGTTCTGATCAGTATGCCTGGCAATTGTGGAAGTAGGACAGCTCCTCTAAGTAATTCATTATTTAATGGTGTTTTTCCAGAACCTGCATCGAATACGACTCTTAATTTAGTGAATGATGAAGAACTTTTGAAAACAGGTTGGTGAGGGAGGTAATGGACTATGTTTGTGTTTTTTGGTGCTATTTCAATCATATTTAAATCCAACTGTTCCTTAATCGTTTTGTCAATTGTTTCCAAAACTTCGGGGTTTTCTCGGTATTTTTTCCAAAGAGATCTGAGTCGGCCTAATGAAACCCCAAAATTCGTTTGTAGTGTCCTTTTCGATTCGATTCGCCACGGCCAGCCTACTTCATAGCGTCCATCAGGTAATTGGTTGATTGACTCCCTAAATTGCTTCCAAGCTATTTCATCATCTGGAATGGTCAAACCCGGATCTCGAATGCCAATAGTCTCAAGATTCCAAAAATCTTTTTCCTCTACTTTTTCAGTAATTTCTCCAACAGCAGACATTACGTATTGTGTTTCATCTTGTATTCCTGCTTCCCTTATTTTCGCTTTGCCGCAGATTATAGGTCCTACTTTTGTGCGGAGCAAAAATCTCTGGTTGGATAAATTTTCAATATTTTCTAAAAGGTTTAAGGCGTCAGACAATCCAAAAAGTATGTCAGGAGTGCATTGCTTTACTTCGATTTCTTTATCATCGTGTAACCAAAATTCCCTTGGATCACTGGGACAATAGATTTTCATTTGATCTAAGTTGGGTGTAGTATACCCTTAGGTAGAAGTAATAGTTCCATTTTTCAATTTAAACTCGATTTTGATCCTATATGATGTGAAGCGGGACTTTTTACCAGCGTATCCATCTACTTCGAGTTCAGTTTTATGTTTAATTTCCGAATCTGAAATCCCTAGTTTTTGTGCAAATCGCTCACTAATCAAAGTACAAGTGGCTCCTGGATCCATTAGTGTGAAACCTCTAATTGATTCTTTTCGACTATTTAAGTATTCAATATTTTTAGTCATGAGCAATGTTTTTATATTTTTATCTTTCAGAGAGAGAGTGTTGATCTTTTCTAATTCCCTGTTATTTTGTGTACTATTTACTTCCATTATGTCTATCAGGCAGTTCATATCTTCTTGGGAAAATCCTGGATCTGTATTTGTATTCTCACCTGTGTTTTCTCTTATATTATGAATATTTTCTCGTTTGATTGTGTTTTTGGGACAGACAGCAAAGTAATGAGGTTGTGTGCAACTCTGGCATTTTAACTTATTATTTTTGCAATATTTGGCAATATGATTCCGCTCGAAACATTTGGTACATTTTCTCAAATCTTTCAACCTTTGTATTCTAGTCTCAAAATTTATATATTTTTTACATTGGACGGAACTGTGATTATCGATCTCACAAAAGACGCATGGCCTTCTCTTTTTATTTGTTTCATTGGAATATCTATTTATTTCTGGTTTTGGTTCCCGCCAATTTTTGTTTTTATCCCTCTCTATATTATTAGTAAATACATTATGATTTTGGCGAAGAGGAGGGCGTCTATAATTCGATGAGGAACTTTGGCCATAAACCGCTTCTTTAATTTTTAGATGCTTGTCAATTTAGATGCTTGTCAATTGAGCCCATCCCCCAAACTTGTTTTCAATTTGTTGTAGCAGTGCACCATTGTCGATTTCTTCCCCTAATGCTTTCAATTGCTGGGTGATTCGATGTACATTTATCCAATTTTGACGAACGTCTTCAGTTTTTAATGCCCGCGGACAAAGCTTATTTAATTCCCCATACAATGATCGTTTAACTGAGATCTCATCCCCAAATCGTTTCCTAAGATGGTTCACTACTAACGGATAGTTTAAGGCTGTTATTGCAAATCCGCTCACTTCACTATAGGGATGAGGACGAGCGAGGGAGGCAAGTAAATACGTTAGTTTTTCAGAATCGTCTAGACTATGATTTTTATCTATTGAAACTTCAAAAAGACTCCAGAAGCTTGGCCAGTCCGAAACCTTTCCATTAAAGAGAGGAAGATTACAAACTGGCAATCGAATAGAAGTCGAATGTGCTAACGATGTATTGGCGACAGAATTATCATTATGAGACGACGAGGAGACTTCAATCAGCTTAGCTTCGATTTCACAACTCAGATCCCTCGCTATTTCGATTAGGGCTATGAAACCATCCTCCCCCTCCGCGTGGGTGTTATAATCTTTCAACATATCCTCTTTCCTATCCTGCGCCTCGAGACCTATGAGCTTTACCCAGTCTGTATTGATCTGTTCCAACACTTCTACAGATCTAGCTAATTTCAGTTGTTGTGCTCTCAGACTCGTTATACTTTCGGGGTTTACTCCATTATCTGATAATTCTTTGATCGACTTTATATATCCAATGGTTCTTTTCCTGAGTGGACCTAATCTCATTTTAAGCGGTCCCGCAAAAGTGCGATTCGCCATTTATTATTTTAATTTTAAATACAATTTTTAGGTGTATATTAAATACAAAAAATTAAAAGCAATTGTGTGTATATAAATATTTAAATTAATGCAATTGTAAGTTTGTTTAAATAGTATTAAATTAATTATTCTTTTATTCTTTAATTAGAGCGGCTAAACGTTCAAACAAAGCGGCACAAGCACGAGAGGTTTGTCCAATTTGCGAATACACTTCAGCAAGTTGTGCTGCTTTACGTACGGACTCCCCCTTCTTTTTTGCTTCGGCTATTTTCTCTGCTTCGCTCTTTTGTACTTCCAAGATTTGATTTTTCACTTCGGGCTTCTTTTGAGGAAAATTTAGTAATCTTCTTAGAAAGACTATATTCACCTTTGGACACGTAACAGGAGTCTTTGAGTGAACACGATTGGGAATCACTGCTTCTGCTCGTGTCGTTTGATGATCCTGCTATTGGAAGGATTAGATTTGACCAGATAGCAGTAGTAAGAAGTTCAGCCCTTTTAGTTCTCCCAGCGATTACAATTCGGGAGTTTACCTTTTTGTTATTGTTGTCGATCCGGGAAGAGTGTGGCCTTTTATGAGCAGCGATCGGCGGTGAACGTCTGGCGCTTCCAATTCTTGGAGTAGAGGGTGAACGAGGCCTTCTGGGAGTTTGCTGTTCAGCCAAGACTGGCTTTGTTTTCACAGCAGTTCCGACGGTGGGTTAGACCTAATCCAATTACAAGGTAAACAAAATTTATTAATGGGGCAAAGAGTTTTCTTTACAACAACAAACTTTTTGTGAGGTGGAGGCCAATCATCATCAGAAGTATCTGTTTCAGTTGCTTTGATATCTTTACTTGGAACAGCAATTGGCTTCTGGTTATTACCACGAGTTGGATTGGAAGAGCCAGCAGTAGAAGTCGAGCTTGTATTAGTAGTTGTGGCGCGACCGGAAGATGTACAATTTAGTTTATTAATTGATCCAGAATTTGTAGTAGTTGCTTCAGGGGTAGAAACAAATTTTTTCACAACACAAATTAAGCAGTTGCAGTTAGTGTTGTCGGAATGCACGCCTTGAGCCGAGGCAAGGATTTGTTGAAGCACAGCAGGTTTAATGGATTCCGCCACAAGAAATTTGAGTTATTAGTAAGGTTTAGTCGAGGTGCCTCTCCCGGAGCACCACTTTGTCAACTAAAAGCTTACTTTGACAAATAAATTTTTGGGGAAGCTAGGTCCCGAGAGTTATTGAATAAAGTGAATTTAAATAAAATATTTATCTTTAAAATTAATTTAAAAATACAATTAAATTTATTTGTAAAGAATTAATGGAAAATTGAAAACTGAAGATGATAGGGAAGATCTGCCTATTGTTTATATAGGGGATTTAATGGACAATAGGCAGAGATTTACACAATAATGAATAGAGAAGTGATATGAAAAATAGTATTAACTAGGGGTGAAAAGACAATGGTTTCCGGAAAAAGAAGAGAGAATAAAGGGTCAAAGTGGCAGCTTATGGGAAAATAATTTATGAAATTGTCTGTCGTGGACAGGTGAAATAAAGGGAAAAATAGGAAGAAATATTTAAATTTATTAATAATTATAATTTCGTGTTCCTTACACGACACAAGCCCACACAATCAACCCATTAAACATAAATCCGAGTTTGTTTAAATTAAGCTGGGATAGTTCTGAAGCTTGATTTTTAAATTAGTATAATTTAAAATCATTTATTAATATTAATTTTTTTCCTATAATTCAATGTAATGGATGAATTTTTGAAATGGATGAATTTTTGACTGAAATGGATGAATAATTTTATTCGTAAATTTTTATAACAATAACAAATAATTTGTTATTGTAAAATAATTATAATCTGAAGAAATCGAACTAGGTCAAGATGAATAGCATTACTAAGTAATAAACCTGATAAAATCTTTATTTATAATTACAATTTTTATAATTTTAATAAATTGGAAATGAATGAGAATAATAATCCAAACAAGAAAAATTTACTTCAAAATTTACTATTAAAGTGCCCTGCAAAATCCAGAATAAAATGAAATAATTTATTTAGAATTATTTGTTTTTTATATATAAGTAATAATCTTGGAATTTAATATTCTTAATCAAGAAAAGAATTTATTAAATTGGCATCAAGAAAATAAACATTGTGGCACGCAAACACTACTCTCAATACTTCGATAAAGATTCTGGATCTGAGAGATTATTTAAATTAAATAAAATCAATAAAAATAAAATATTCGAAGACTACATTGATTTAAAAATATAAATTCATAAAAATTAGGCTATTAATAAATAATATTTTTAGATATATTGTAGAAATATTTAAAAATATAATTAATTAATTATTCGTATATTCTAAGAAAAAAATCTGGCAAAACTTAATTTAATTGTAAGAATAAACTTTAAAAAATAAAAATTTTAATTCAATTCCTATTATAATATAATTATCAAGTTTACCAATATACCTACAATTAAAGAAGTGAGATAAACTTATTTAATTATTTTAATAGGAAGATATATTAAATAGGGGATTTTAATTAAACTTTGAAAGATCATCTGGAAGAGAAATTATTTAATATAATTGAATTAATGGCAAGATTGAATAAATTGATCTGAATTTGTTTATTTGATCCAGCTAGCCGGATACATTGTAAAGTAATTAAAATTAAAAAATTAAATAAATTTTTATCAATTGGGATTTTATAATCCGATTGGTAAAGAAAAAATATTATGTAGAAATTTGTAAAAATATGCAAAATCCGGAATAACTTCTGTCTTAATAAATAATATTTATAATTTAAAAATGAGATATAATTATATAACTACTAAACAAATGTCAATACTATAATTAAATAAAAAAATTCATATATTACATACATATTAGTAAATGTGTATAATATAAAAAATGCATATTAAAAATATAATATTAAAAATTTTGTATAATACAACATACATAAAGAGAGATTGCGCAACAATTTGAGAGTAAAAACAAATATTAATGTTTGTTAATTAATTAAATAAGATAATTAAATAAAAAGTTTATTAATATTAGTTTGTTGTCTATAATTCAATGTAATTTTAATATGGATTGAAAATTGATTAAAGGAAAAGTTTTGAATAACAAACTATTTAATCAATAAACATTGAAATTTAAAAGCTAAAATTAATTAATATAAGAACGAAAAAATATATAAATTTGAGCGCCGCTAATTGATATGCGTATGAGATTCCTAATACTATCAAACTAGCCTGCAACATGATGAAATCAATTGTTTAATTAAATTTTTATTAAAAAATTAATTAAAAATATCTAAACATTTTGACTGAAATAGACGAATAGATATTTAATGTATTTTTGCCGAAATTGAAGCAAATAATAAAATTAGAATACCAAATACATATATAGAATACAAATATTATCTAAATTATTTAAGATTTATTTTAAAAATTAACATTTATCCAATAAATATTTGTAATTTTTAGACACATTTTTATGATGACTATTACAAATCGAGCACTTCAACAATGAATTTATTTTTACGAACATGCTTATTTAAAATTTAGTTGTTCACGAATTATTAACTTTTAATTTCAACTTATATAGTTAAAAATAATAAATTATTCGTAGATTTTTATAACAATAATGAATACTTTGTTATTTTAGAATAACAAGTTATGATCTGAAGAAATCGAACTAGGCCAAGATGAAGAGGATTACAAATTAATATAATAAAATCATATAGAATTAAATTTTTAAAATTACAATAAATTAAAAATGAATGAAAATAACAATCTTAACAAGAAAAATTTACTTCAAAATTTATTATTAAAGATGCCATGCAAAATTCAAAATAACTTGTATTGATAAGAATGACTAAACTTATAATTTAAATAATATTGTCAAGTATAATAAAATGAAAACATGTAATAAAAAATGCAAAAAATAAGAATGAGATATAATTAAATAACTATACTAAACAAATATGAATAATTAAATTAAAAATGTGAAAAATATATCAGTAATTTGGTGTTTGTGGATTTACAGTTGTGTGGATCTCTCTTTGTTGACTAATTGGATTCTAATTTTTTGGCT